CCTTCTTTCATAGACAATTCATTATCTGTTTTCTCAGAGATAATTATTCTCTGATTCTTTCAATATTGAAAGGTCTTCAGTGTCAACTGTGAAAAGATTTCACAGATCTCATTTCTGAATACATCAGTCTCACACTGACTGAGTAAGTCAGAATTAAAGTGATTCAGTATTGTAATATCTGTAAAAGCTTGTTTTAATTCTGCAAACATCTGCACAGTGTCTTGAGTGAGAGTAAACAGTTCTGTTTTTCTATCTTTCATACTTCTCTTTAACAGATCTGTAAGAAGAACAGTAATCTGTGAATATGTATAGATGAATTGTCTGTAGAAATTTACAAATTCTAGAAATATCTACATCTTATGATACATCTGCAGCACTGGTCAGTTCTCAATGATGAAGACTCAGCTTCTGTTCATTGAAATATCATTCATCTCAGCCTCAGTGGCCGAATGGTTAATGCGGCCACCCGGTAGCGCCTTGGCGTGGGAAACCAAGGCGCGTGGGTTCGAAACCCGCAGGGGATACATTAAATCCGGAACTTAAGCACCTCAGGTTTCTAATAAATACAGAGGTGTACAAATCACTTCAATGAATCGCTCTATGTTCCTGAGCTGGGAAGTTATTATTGCATGTATCTAATTGTCACTTCTTTGTATTTTCCTATGTTCTTATTATCTTGACATGGTCTCAACACCTGTATTTCCTCCTGTATAATCAATACTTGACCTGTATTTAACATCACGCAAGGACTTATCATAAGCTCCGCTTGCATATGAGTATAATGAAAGAATAATAATAATAATAATAATAATAATAATCATTCATCTTAATAATATAATCTAAGAAATCAATCTCCTGCATATAGAACAAGCATTTTTCAGTGTTTATATAGAGTTAATACTGTCTCAAGTGACTTAATACTTCTTGAACATGAGTATCATGTTCTTTCTCTGATTTTAAGAAGATTAAAATGTTATTTAGATATACTATGCAGAAGACATTAACAAGGCTCTGCAGTGTCTCATTTATATAGATCTGAAAGATAGCTGAAGCATTACAAAGATTAAAAGATAAAATAAGATATTCAAAATTGCTATACTTGATATAAAAAGCTGTTTTTCAAATATCATCTTCATTAACTCTGATTCTATAATAGATATTCTATATATCAATCTTTAAGAACATCTTTGCTTCAGATAATCAATCAATCATCTCATCAATCAATAGTAATGAATAGCAATTCTTAACTGTCATCTTATTAAGACCTCTGTAGTTTATACATAGATATAACCTATCATTCTTTTTGAGTATAAAGAGTATAGATGTCTCTGTCAGACTTTTTGATAAATATATTCAGTTCTTTGATTGCACTTCTTGAAGATATTTACACAGAATATTTAATTTCTTTACAGATAAGTTATAAAGAGATCTGTACAGTGCTGTTACACTGTCTTCAAGATAAATCTTATATTATATCTTAATGTCAGAAAACTTCACTGCTTCTCTTTTCAAAAAGATATTCTTAAAATCTGTAAAGAGATGTTGTGTATATTCATCTTCAATAACAGATATTGCTGCTAATCTTGCAGTGAGAATAATGACTTCTTCACCTGTTTTCAAGTCTCAATCACCTGCTACACAGTATATCAACTCAATCTTTTTCTCAAGATTCTTCTAATGAAACTCTTCAGATTTCTCTATCACTGTCTCTTCATTAGTGAGGTAATATCATCACATCTGAGTGACTCAGTCAATGAGAGAATTGTTTTCTCTCAATTACAGAAGATCTAGAATAACATTCTCATCTATAATATTAACTGTGTGAAGAAGCAGACTGCTTTTCTTGAAGATTTCTTCTGAGTCTGTAATCACACACTTCACTTGAATTATGTTAAAATAATGACATTTTATTTCATCAGTAAATTTCACATGATCTGATAAATCTATCTTCTTTTAACTCTTTATTAAAGAAAAGAAATAGAATATGAAGTTGACATCTGCTTTAAAGTTGAGTAGATATCTTACTGATATCTTCTTATTCAGAGTATGCATTGTGATTATAACATAAACTCAGAGATATGAGAATTGTTAATTCTTTTCTTTCTCTTCTTTATCTTTCACAGATACATTTGTCAGAAGAGAAGTTAACTTTGAGAAGATGTCTTCTCAGTTTCTTCTCTTCTTCAGCTTCTTACAATCACTGATATAGTGATTACCAGCTCTGCAGTTGAAACAGAGATCTTTATCAAATCTTTTTTAATATTTCTTCACAGTGAGTGAAGAATCAGAATACTTGAAATTCTTCTTTACTTTCTTCACACTGAAGCTGTCATGACATTATTTAGATTCTGTTATTGATTGCTTAGAAGAGGTCTTGTTGACCTTTTTCTCAGAGAATTGATTTTTCAAATAGATTTGAAAAGTCAGGTTGACAAGCTCAGTATAATTGATTGATGAACTCTGATATTATGATATTATTATTCACACCTTGTAAGTCAGCTTTGTGAGATAAAGCTGTGTTTTTAATTAGTTCAAATTATCAGTTAATTTCTCTTAATATTCTTTAAATCTTGTGTTGAAATTGAAAGAATTCTTATCATTTTATTAATATAATGAGTTGAATCACTGTGCTGCTGTGAAGCTGTGATTGCAGTAATCTTTGATTTGATTCAGTAGAAAGTTCTTGAATTCTTCTCAAGTTATAGCAGCATTGATACACTCAAGCTCTCTCTTCTTAATAGCTCAAGTAGTTGCAGAGATGCCTTCAAGAAGGTTGACAGTGTATATTACTCATATCTCATGAGTATTATACTAACTCAGATTAAGGTGGAATTTTCATTCAAGAGTATGAGTAAAGCTATGAAATTCAGACAAGGTGTTTCTCTTATATCTCAGTGAATCTCTGATCTTAATCTCTCTATCTTTATAATAGAGGTAGATGTGTAGAGGCTGCAGTGATGACAGAGCAGTTGAAGAGCTCATGTTAAAATATACAGCAGATTCAGAAATCTCAGATTTCTGCTGAGATAGAGATGTATACACTCTAGAGAATGATGTAGTATTTCTCTCAGAGAGTGAGATCAGATCAGTTTCAGTGCAGGTGTATGAGATTATATCAGTCTGTTAGAGCTTGACTGATTCAAACTTGTAATCAGATTAAGTAATTTGAATTATAACATAACAGAACTGAAGTGATGACTAGTCAGTAGTATTATATAGAGATAGTTGTTTGAGAAGCTGTATAAGTAAGCTTAGACTGACCGTGTGACCGTGTCTGAGACCAGGATCAAACTTTACAGTTGTCATGTTGCCTAAAAGCATTACTTCTGATCATGGTTTGTGTTCATCATATTGATTTCAAATCACATTATTTCAGATATTAAAGGTCTCAGATTCACTTTTCAAATAAAAATCTAGTCTCAGATAAAGAATATATTTGAATTCTTAGTCACATTTTCATTCTGATCTCATTATTGAAAATAGCATTAAATGAGATCATGAAATCATTTCTCACTTACATAATATCATAACATAGTGCTCATTTGTTGAAAATTCAATAGAGAGTGTTATCAAATATCATTACTTTTCTAAACACAGATCATAATTGATATCATTTTAATTAAAAAAAAAATATAAAATACAAAAAATAATAAAAAAATAAAAAATAAAACAACAAGAAAAAATCACAACAAAAAAAAAAAAAGAAAAGGAAAAGAAAAAAATAAAAAATAAAAACAAAAAAAAATCAAGATCACAGAGCTGCAGCACTCTCAAAATACTCACTTTTCAGAGTCTTTACAATGTTCATCACCAATCATGTATCTCTCACAGTGAGAGTAACACAGCTGTGATGAGTCATTGTCTTAACACTATCTAATAAATAATCAGTATATATCTATATAAATGTGAATAATTAGAAAATATACACTCAAAAAGTGTGGCCAGGGTGAACTCTGCTGCCACTTGAATGACATCAAGAACAGAACACTGGAATCAATGATTTCTCTCATCAATTTCACAGACAAGACATGTAAAGATGATCTTGAGAAATATAAGATTCTCTGACTTCTGATAAAAATGAATCTCACAGAGAGACTCTATTTTCATCATATCAGAGACTGAGTATTATCAAAAAGTGTTACTTCAATACATATGCACTTACTGCAGCAATTCATTCTCTATGCATGTGACTGAGAGTTGCAGCTTTCTCACATCACACAGCTCTCTCTGAGATGCTGCTGTCAGTTTACAACTCACACAGTCTCTCAGTTCAGCACACACTGCATATATGCAGCTCTGCATGCTGGGGCTGTGTTGATCATTATAATCTGATGTGATACTCACTTTTCACAGGCCATGTTTCATTTGATTGAGAGAAGGGGGGGATGTGACTGCTGTTTTATTTGAGAGAGAGTGAGTAATTGAATCTGTAGAAGATAATTTGATTTCTTCTGCATTTGAAATTTAATTAGTCTATACTCTTCAATTTGAGAGTTTCTAAGAGTGTTTTAATAGTTTTCATATCAGCTTGAAATTAGTGATTGATTGAAGAAGAGAAAAGAGAGAAGAAAGAAATGAGAATAACTTATCTTTATAATATGAAAACAGAGAATTGCTGCAATCATTTATTCTAGTAACAAAGATCTGTTTTCTGCATATATCTCTGATACAGATTATATGATAACTGTATTCAAAGAATATCAACAGTGCATGTATTGAATGAAGATGATGTTACTATGCAACACTGTAGCTGTTTCTGTACATTGCTGAAAGCTGTTAATATTTTCTTTGAGTCTTTTTATATTTGATAAGTCAGTAATATATTTCAATGCACTTTTCCTTTCATCATCATCATCATCATCATCATTATTATTATTATCATCATTATTACTATTATCATCATTATTATCATCATCATCATCATTATCATTATCATTATCATATCATTTCTGATCATCTCTTCTGCCTTCACCTCTCTTTAACACTCATTGAAATCAATCATGTCATTCCTCTTCAAATATTCTGCGGTCCTGCGGACCATCAAGGCGCGTGAGTGCTGTCACAGATTGAAGAGAGAGAAGAAGAAGGTGTTCAAGTGAGAGAAGACAGATTGTAAGACACATTATAATGCCTTGAAGAGGCTCTGTAAGAGAGTAGAATAATAACAATTTTAAGTAACACTTCTGATAGATTTAGACTGAACTAAGTATAGAAATAATACAGATGACACTGCCTGTAAGAGATTAAAGAAGAAGATAGTGAAGAGTCTCATACAGCAGTGATGAAATCAGAAGAAGTTTCAAGAATGATTTGAGACTAAGATGAAGAGAGAGAGAGATGAGAAGAGTGTTACTGTAAATAAGCAGCAGTAGAAGAAGATTAAGAAGATGTTAAAGTAGAAGATAAAGAAGTTAAAACTGATAAGTTTTTTATTTATTGAGAGATAATGATTTTTAATAACACTTCTGTTCTCTAATTGATTAGCAGAAGCTGGCAGAGAAGAAGGGAATTGAGGCCTTGTTCAGGTCTCAAATATGCTTCATGATTCAGAACATTGAGAAGACAGCTCTGCTCTCTGAGCATGTCAATCTGCTTACTACTGAAGTGGAACCCAAGACAGCAGATCAGAAAATGCGGGATTTTGAGGTACAGGTTGACCTGGCTGAGAGAGAGCAGCAGGAACCCTTCTCTGAGAAGGCAGTAGAGAGAGATTTTAAGATGATTATCATCTCAGATGAGAAGAAGAAGAAGAAGAAGAAGAATGAGAAGTGAATTATAAAGAATGATAAGAAGAATGAGAAAGAGCAGAAAGATAATGAGTAGAAAAAGTTTTTTTCTTTTTATATTAGTTAGTTATAAGTTCATAATTATTAATAATTAAAATTAATTTTGAGTTTTTAAAAATTATTATACAAGTTGTAATCAAGTCAGGAATAATATATATATATATATATATATTTAACTATCATGATTCACAAATCACTATAATATATAAGTATCAACATTTTTTCAACATTGATATTTATAATATTAATATATTTTTAATAATATTATCTGATAATGTAATTTAATAACACTCTCTTTCATAATATTAATATATTTCAAGAAATATGACAGAGATTAATCAAGATTGTTTATTTACTTTTATATATTGATGATATCTAATCTGAGTTAGTACTAAAATTATAACTAAGCTAAGAAACAAGATTATTTTCTCTTATATTAATTCTTCTTACATACATCAGTGATCAGTTATTGAAAATAAATTATCATCTTTCTCAAATTATTATCATATCTTCTGAATTCACTTCTTTCACTTCTTTTACTTCTATTAAAGATTCATAAACTCTTCAAGAAATCACTGTGAATTACAAAGTCTATATTATTTACAATTCAATATAGAATGCTCTCTTTCAATTATAATGAATAATTACTTCATTCTTCACATCTGATTCCAGGTTATGAAATTTATGAAAAACTCAACACAAACACTGAGATGAACTATGAAATAATTATCAACAGGTTGTATTATAGATTACTAAAGAGTTATCTCTCTGCTACAATCACTGCAACTTTATTCAGAAACATTCATCATAAACTGATCATAACTCTGAAGAAATTTTCTGATATCTGAAGTCATCAGAATACAGATAATAAAAGAAAAATAATCAGAAAATTACTACTGAGCTGATAAGTTGCTCTATCAGATAATGATTTTTAATAATACTAACTTTCTAATTTGAAGAAAATCATATGAAAATAATCACATATCAGTACTCTGATTTCACAACTCTTATCTGATAACTTCTGTGAATAATTACTTCACATGTGTATATCTCTGAATCTTTCTCTTCAATCAATTGAAAACCCTGAATTCTGAACACTTCTTCAAATGCTTAATTCAAATCTTCATATTTTACATCAATTCTGTCTTCAGTTCAACCTTGAGATATACTACAAAGTTAATATGCAACATCTAGAATCAGAGTTGAAGAATTATCAAAGAGTGTCTCTTACAGTGAATGCATGAACTAGTACAAATAATCTTACATTTATAAGAGTTACATGTTATTACATTGATGAGAACTGAACTTATTAAGAGACATTAATTGAATTTGAATCATTGATCAGTAGTCATACTGAGGATTATATGACAGAGATATTAATAACTGTGATTAAAAATGACTATTGAGATATTAGTCTCAGTCTTCTTACAATTATAACTGATAATGCTGCAAATAACTACACTATGATGAAGAGCTTGAAGCAAAAATTGGCTTTGCATTTCTGAAATAATAAACAAGGTTATATTCTCTGCATTGCTCATGTGATTTAACTTGTGATACAAACACTGATAAAGAATCTTAACATTGAGATAAAGAATAATGAGATGACTGATTCTTGAAATGAGAATGAGATGAAAGTAATTACTCAAGTAACTTTTGTATTCACTTTGCAAAAGATAATGTTTTTTGACAACACTTTTTAATATTGCTTTTTAATAATGCTTTTTAATAACACTACTGTTAATTTTGAATAGATTGACTAATAATTTAAATATCACAGATTTGAAACATTGTTAATGTGATTTGTACCTCCTCTAAATAACAACAACAATTTCATGATATTTAATAAATAAATAAATCAGTCATATCACTGAATATGATACAGAATGTTAGAACACAGTGAAGTTCAATATATAAGATAACTGTTCAGACTCTTTGATTGTATCAGATGATTGATCATTGAGTGTAACACTCTGATCAGAAAAAGATTCAGATATTGAAACTTTCTGATATGAAGTGAACTCAGTTGAAATATGTGATTGATTTACTGTTTCAGTTTTATAAGATAACAAAGACAGTCTCAATCACTTGTACATCAATGCTGCAGTCAGTCTGATGAGTGTATAACAGTTTATTTACTCATCTTGAGAAGCAGTTGAATCACTCAAAAAGAAATTCAGTCTGAGATGATGCTATAGCACAGGCTATTATTGCTGTAAGAGATAAACTGGCATATTATTACAGCAAAACTGAACAATCTTTTGCAGAGTACTATACTATAGCAGCTCTACTAGATCTCTTCTATTGAGTTAATATCTACACTTCTCAAGATTGAACAGAGGAGAAATGAGACTCATATGTCAAATTAGTCTGAGACTACTACAATACCAACTATCAGAGATTTGAACAAGCAGATGTTCAAGATATGAAGACAGTGAAATACAATTCTCTAGTAAGTAACAATCTTTGATAACACTTCATATCACATAGAACTATAATACTAACTTTGAAACAGAACTTACATACATTGATTATAACTGAAAATCAGGCAAAACTACATACTTGTAAAACTGAATTTGACTGCTATCTTTAAGATAATCTGATGAATTTACACATCAAATCAATTCTAGAGTTATGAAAAATTGTTGAGAGTATATATTCAACTGTTGCACTGATGATATGTAATATTCTGACAATTTCATTGACAGAGGTGAGAATGAAGTAAAAGTTCAACTCAAGTCAAGATATTTATTACTATCATCAGAGACAATTATAAGAAGAAACAATCAAGAAACTCATGATTGTAAAACATGAAATTATCAGACAGTTTAATACCTCTGATCACAGTATATCAGAGAAGTGTAGTTTTCATGAGAAAGTGAAGAATAAACTTGCACAAGAATGTATTTAGTTGTTTCATGAGCATTATTAATAATTATAACCAAATTCTGATTATATAAGCAATCACTGAATGAACTGAATGAGACTGATTTTGATCTTCAGTCTCAGTCTCATTCTGATTTTGAAAGAATAATCATCTTTCATAGTTTATTCTGAGAAATTACTTTCATTTCACTGTTCTTGAATTAAATCTGGTCATTTTTCACACCATTTCTCTCAGAAATGGTCCATTTTCAGATTTTTTTGAGGCTTGGTCCTGGTGGGACTCACGCCAAGAAATGTATGAGACCAGACCAAATGGGACCAAATGTGAAATTCATGGTCCCGCCGGCCAGTCTAAGTAAGCTTGACTATCTTACTTAAATAGTGAGCTTGTAGGCTACAGAGTTATTGCAAGAATATCACAGATATGATACTTAGTATACTAAGAAGATTGTATGAGATACACAGTAACTCTTATATATATTTCAGTAGAAGAAAAACAAATCACTGACTTCTTTCATAAGAAGTCAGCATCTAGCTATTTTATATAGACAATGAGCAGATATCTTCTCTCATTTCATGAGCAAGAATAGTCAGAGTGATATCTCAGCAGTGTCTCACTATCAAGGAAAAGTAATCTGCTAATCTTATATAGAAGTGAGGTTCTCATATTCATCAATCAGATCTTTCTATGATATATTCAAATGATGTCATAGAGTGATTGAAAACCAGTTCAGACAGAATGAAATCATCCGCATGAAAGTGATGAGCCGTGTGAAACCGCAACAGGGCCTTGGCGCGGCCGGGAGCGTGACACTTCAACAGTGAAGAATGAGTTTAATGAGAGTGTAATTGTTAATGAGTAGACTCTGAGATTCTCTCTTTTTACTTTTTCAGTAAGCTGTGACCTCATTAGATTAGCAGCAGTCTGCAGGTTGATTAATATTAATCTTTTTATTAGTTTTAAATATCTCTTTCTTTTCTTATTAACTGCTTCAGGAATTTTACACTTGTATAGTCTCATTAAACTTCTAAAAAACTCTTTAAGAGAAAATAGAAGAAGAGTGTTACAGAGTTTATAAGACATCAGCTTATCACTGTAAGATTATCTCTAAAAAACTCTTTGAGAAAAATGAGAAGTCTTTAAACAGTATTTCTTACTCAATGTCTCTGATGTATAACAGAGCAGTCTCTACTAGTTATCTTATAGCTTATAATCTCTTTCTCAGCATTTTTCAAATATTCAAGCAGTTTTTATAAATTCTCTGACAATGAATATTCTTCTTATTTAACAAGGTATTGAAGCTTACTGTAATATATTCACTTATTCAATATTTTCTTTATAAGATATTTAATATCACTTTTGATCTCAATGTTATCTGACTGAGACAGCTTCATCTCAGAGTGTTGCTTATAGAGCTTTAAATAGAAAATGTGAAAAACAGAATAAATTGATTTCAATTCTGTAAGTAATTTCAACTTATATATCTGCTTACTTATCACTCTTATTACTAAGAAAGATTCTAGTCATCACTTACTGAGCTTTTTATATAATCTTATTATCTTAATATTCTTTGTTAAAAGTAGCACTTGATTCTCTATTAAGAACTTCATTGAAAGATGTTTTTAATTATAGTATTTCATCTACTGCTTCTGAGCATAGTGAATGCTTTTTACTGTCTTCTTATAAATTTTATTTAAAAGTTTCAATCTTACTTTTACTTCTAATACTGAGAGATACTCTGTTCTCTGTATCTGTCTGATATTCTGACTATCTATTTCTCTCTTTAAAATATTATCTATAATATCACTGAGTAATGAAGAATTATATTTATAATAAGTATAGAAAGAAGATATCTTTAAGATTACATTCTTTGTATTATTATATATAAATTCAGCAGTTAGAAGATGTTTAAGTCAATTATTCTGATAATATAAATAGAATACTTGAAGATACTGTTTTAGTATCTGATTTTAATATTCAGTCTGATTATCTGTCTGTGAATGAAAAGCAGTACTGAGAAGATATTTTATTATAAGATGATAGTAAAAAGCTGATCAGTATTTACTGATGAAGAGAGATTCTCAATCTGTTATCAACAA